GCCCCCCCCCAACCAGCCCCCCCCCATGTTGAATGTCCAGAGACTTGCTAAGACAGTGCCTTTTACAAATGCAGTTTATCCCCTGGTTCTGAGGAGCAAGAGGGTGGTGGAGATGGTATCACCCTTACCTCCTCCTCTTGCAGTGGAGACTTTGTGCAAAGAACAGGTCTGCCTTTTTTGTTTTGTTCCCTGTGTGTGTGGCCTTTGCATCATTTTCCTTGTGGAAGAGAAGATTCGGGCCATGGGAGGCCCTGGCCCTTGAAATTCCACTGTGGCTTTAGGATTGTGAACTGCTTCACCCCCATGTGCCCCAGCCTCCACCCAGGAACCTGCAACAGCAAGCCTGGTGATAAAGTCTGACTTGGGGACCTGGAGTGGAGAGGTGGAGTGGGGTAAACCTCAGACAAGCACAGACCCCAGATTTTGCCAAAGGCAAACAGCTCTCCAGCCCCCTCCCCACCCCGGCTGAGGCCCAGTCAGGAAAGAGCCTCAGGGGCATCTGAAAGCACAAGAAGACAGGCACTAGTAAGCTCTGTCCTCAGCTCCATCCTGAGAGGTCAGTGGACCGCCCCCTGAAGGGCAGACCCCGATAGATCCCTGCCTACCTGTTTTCTTCCAGTGTACATAGATCAGATGGGGGAGGAGGGGTGGAAGCAAGACTGTCACAACCTGGGTGTTTGGGGTTGGGTACCCCCAATGGGTTTGTCTGCGTTTGCACCTTGCCCTTTGTCTGAGGTGCTATGACTGTACCCTCCTCCTACCCTGGGACATTTGTATCTCCTGGCTTTGTAATAAATGCTGCATACTCTCCAGAGCCTCTAGTTCTTTGGGGCAGAGGGGACAGGGAAAGGCTGGGTGGGTCCCCTGGCCTCCTCCTCATACTGCTTATCTCTGGGCTCAGCCTGCCTTGGGAGACCCCATATGGAATAAACCAGAATTATCTCCACCCTTTGCCCCCAGACTAGGTTAGGATCCAGAAAAGACCACAGAACACCAGTGACCACAAGGATACCATTCTGGACAGGCAGACTTGTTTAATGCCACCTCCTCTACCAGCAGCTGTTAAACCAGGGACCTGTTCCCAGATTGGAGACCTCAGGTTATGGGAAGCAAGCCAGCTGTGGGTACTGGGGTCCCTGGATGGTGCCTTCTTGTGCTTGGCACTCACTTTCCTTCTTCACAAAGAGGGTGCATGTCAGAGAGGTTTGGGGCTGGGCAGCAGCCACCTGCTTAGAGTGGGGAGCCCACTTCTGCCTGCTGCACCCTCTCACTCCTGTGGGTACCATCGCAGTACGGAGGCTTCTGAGTGGCCTTGCAGGTACATAGGGCCATTGTTCGGGTCTCCTGGGCTTTGAACTTGAGTGGGGAAAGGCCAGTGTGTTTGAAGAAGTGGGAACCGTCACAGAAGGGCTGGTGAGGGAAAGAGAAGTTAGTGACTTGGCCCCACCTGATGGGACTGGGCAGGTCTGGGAGAAGCAGTGCACAGTGGTTTGGGCTCAGGCTCCTGAGCAACACTAGTTTACCTCTCACCTGTAATGTGAGGGTAATAAAAGTTGAGTTGTCCCAAGGAAATGATAACCATTTATTATGCACTTTGCGTACAGTAAGTGTTCAGTAAGTTTGAGTCATTACAGCATTAGTCTCCAGGGCACAAGGACAGGATTTTCAAGGTGAAACGGGGTCTTAGGTATCAGCACTGTTTACACGAATAGTTTTTTAATTGCAGTGTCTCCATTGGTTCATGAAACTCATTTCTTTCCCCCACATTCTTGGTAAAAACTGGGTTGGAGAGAGCCTAGGTGCATCATAGGGCTTTAAGACTGGGGTATCAATTTTTTTGGCTTCAGGAAACAACAGCATTTTATATGGAGTGGATGTTATAGGGAGGAAGGGGGTGACTTACAGTGAACTGACTGCCTAGTGCCAGCGTACACTCCCAGTCTTTCCCAGGAGGTGTTCAAAAGAGACGGTAATGGAAACCAAGGTCCACAGAGGTGGAGTCAGGGTGGGGTGGGAGGGGAGCTGAGGGAAATATGCCACTAAGTCAGCCACTCTGCAGCTGGCATTCCCTTAGCACTGCTCCACCCTCATGAGGACTTGCTCAAAGTCAAATCTGTGGCAAAGCAGGGCTGCTGACACTGTGGCTCCATGCCACACTGCTTGGAGGAAAACAGTTCAGAGCTCAGCTGGGGAAGGAAAGGGGCCCTGGAGGCTAAGAATATGGAGCGGTTCCTGCTGGATGAGAGGCTCCTGGGGAAGGAGGGAGAATGAGTTGGGAGCAGGAAGCCAGGCTGAGAAGACAGCCACAACCAGGAAAGTCAAACTGGTGTGTGGATTTTCAGAAGACACTGGGAAGGGGGACTTGGGGGTAGCAAAGCTGGGCAGAGTCTTCTCAATGTTGGGGTTCCAGGGCTGGGAACCTTTGGCCCAAGTGCTTCTTAGGAGAGAGGAAGAGAGGCAAGTCTCTCAGTGCTTAGAGCGGAGCCTGGAATGAGCCCTCTGAAAAGGAGGGCCCATCAGAAGCCAAGTCCAGGACCCTGGGCGCCACCCGCCCGGCTATGCGACTAAGTTTCTGTATCTCTTGGCTCATCTCAAAGGGTTGATACAGAGAACAGAGCTCAAGGCTATGGGTGCGCCAGCCTGAGAGTATTTTTTCTTGAGAGGGAGCTCCCAGGAGACACCTTGCTTTCCCAACCAGGGGTGTCATATGTCAATGGGATGGGGGAGGGGGTCTCTCACCTGCTTCTTGCTTCGGCCACACACACACCATCTGTAGGTTTTCCCTGCCACCAGTTCCACCTTGATGGGTGTTTTCTGGGCCACCACAGGCTTGGCTGGGGTTTTGGGGAACCACTTGGCCTATGGCAGGGAAGATGAGGAGTTTGGGGTCAGCCCCGGTCCCGGAAGCACTTTCCTGCCTATGGCTTTGTCTGATTTCCCACTGGCCCTGGCTTGTGGCTGGCTTCCTCTGCAGGAGGCTGATCTTAAGACACTCTGCAAGGACATTCCCCCCCAAGACATCGAAAGTACCCAGAGCTCCAGATCGGGAATTTCAAGTCCTTGCAGGCATTCAGTTAGGGGACCCAGCTGCTTTCTCTGAAAACCCTGGCTCCACCCAGGTGCTAAGGAGGAGAGGGCGGGGATCCTGCAGCTAAGCAGGCCAACTGCACCTGGGGCCTGGTTTATCACGCACTGCTGTCTCCAGCACAGAAGCCTGCCTCTCTGCCCTGTGCCCGTTGGTCCAGGCTACCTCCCCTGAACCATGGCAGGTGGCCACGGGCAAGACAATCGAAGGCTGGAGCCCAGGAAGCAGGGCTGACCCTTTCTGGTTCCCTTTCCTGGGTCTCTGGGCCTGGGGAACTTGGGCAGAGAGAAGGGGAAACTAGGGGTACTTACCAGCCAGGAGGAGATGTCACGCCTCTGGTTCAGCTTCTGCAAGGCACGCAGTCATCACCAGACGGTGGTTTGGAAACAGAAAAATAAAGTCAATGGAAAGCGGAGAACTTCCAGAGGGAAGTCATCCGGGAAGGAAGCGCCGACCGCTTATGGCGTAAGGAGAAATGAGGGTAAGAAAACGGGATCACAAGACGGGACAGAGAGACGCTGGGGAGGTGCTGGCACGCAGCGGGCGCTCGGGAGGCTGCAGAGCCGGCGTCGCCGTGCCGGG